GGTACATTCATTGGTCGTGCGGTAGCTGCCGGAATCCGATGCGAGTGAGTCGAGCGTGTAAGTACTGCTGCCAGAGTCTCGGGGCCTGTTTGATCCCGTACAAGGACTTCAGTAGCTGGCAGACTTGGTTAGGTTCTCCATGGGAACCGTGTGGAAGTTCGACGAAGATTTCTGCGTCGACAGGTGCGTAGAGAAAAGCATTGGCAACGTCGATTTGCCGCAGCTTCTTTTTCTTCATAGCGGCGATCGCGAGGAGAATCCGTAGTGAGGTGTGTCGACTAACCGGTGCGAATGTCTCGGTGAAATCGCGTCCGTGCTCTTGGTCGAAGCCGCGTACGACCCAGCGTGCCTTGAACTTGTCGATGGTGCCATCTGCTTTCGTCTTCACACGGAAGACCCACTTCCCGGTGAGTATTGTCTTGTTTCGTGCCACGCCGATAGGAACAACTTTCCAGGTGTTGCGTTCCTGTAGTGCTTTCAGTTCCTTGTCCATGGCTTCACGCCATTTTTCCCTATGCTCCCCCCCCAGAGCCTGCTGAACTGTGGCAGGCTCCTTAGGAGTATCCGTGCCGTGGACCGCAGTGACGAGACCAAGTATCTGAAGGCCACTCTGTGTGTAGCGGGGAAGTGTTGTGTCCGCGGGATAAGCTGCTTCGTCGCATGTTTCTGGGTCAGGTATGAAGTTGGGCCCTATTCGTTCTGCTTCGTTGGTGTTGACTTCTGCAGGTGTAACGTAACCAGTGTCGGCGAGGTCGAAATAAGTTTCGGCGTTGACGCTTTCGCGAGGATTTTCGTCATCCATCGGGATAGGCACGGAGCAGTAAGGGAGTGGTCCTGCTTCTTCCGAGGCGTTATCCACGTTCTGCTCGTCCCAGTCAGCTTCGTCTGCTGCCGAGGCGAAGTGTCGGTCACCATGGAAGCCACCTGTGGGATCCCGATTTTCTTCCAGGTTGGCAAGGTATGTCGGAAGGGTGAGTCGTTCATAGAAAATGACGTCACGTGCTGCTACTGTTTCTTTGGAGTGGACGTCGAAAATCTTCCACGCGTTGTAATTTCTTTCGATGCCCAGGTGTAGTCCCCACTGTGCTCGTTGGGAAAATCGGCCGGCTCGTGCAGATGGGGGTCGGTACTGTACCATGCAGCCGAAAACTCTTAACATTTTTGTGCTGCCCTGTTTTCCTGTCCACAGCAGATGCGGTGATGCGTTGTTCGGTAGTGACGACGACGAAAGCAAGTTGTGCAGCATGACAGCGTGGTCCATCGCTTCAGGCCACTGGTGATTGGGCAGTCGCATGCCATGCAGTAATTTGCGCATGGTGTTCTGGAGAGTTCGATTCATTCGTTCCGCCACGCCTTGCTGTTGATGGGCGTAAGGAAGCGAGATGAGCTTCTTGATTCCCTTTTCTGCCAAGAACTGCTTGAACCTTTGTTAGGTGTATTCTCCTCCTCCGTCTGACTGAAAGCTTTTCAGTTTCTCGCCTGATTCTCGTTCTGCTACTGGGAGCCAAGCGATGAAGGCTTCGAAGGCCATGTCCTTGCTCGGAAGATTGAGGTGCCAAACGTAACGTGTAGCTGCATCGATGAACGTGATGGTATAACTGTATGCTCCTTGTCCGGGTTCACGATTGTACAGGATGTCGCTGTACACCTTTTCAAGTGGTGCGTAAGCTGGTGCGCTGGGGTTGTGGTGAGAAGTGAAAGGTCGATGCGGTAAGTCAGCTTCGGGGCAGGTAAAACACGTTCCTTGCGCTCGTCGAAGTTCACTTCCGTCGGTTAGAAGCAGTGAATCTTTGTCGAGAACTCCTGCTCTGATTGTGTTGTTTAACACCGTATTACTTGGATGTCCCATTCGTGCGTGCCAGATGTCTTCGTTAGCGCGATGTCCGGGTGAACGTCGATACAGGTCGGAGTTGGAGTAGAAGCTTGCGGTGAAATTTGTACTTCGATGTACTTCTCGTGGTTTTGGTTGGAGTTGCTGCGCAGGAGTCGGTGGAGTGTCGTCGATTTGAGGTGATGCAATTGAAGGATCAGCGATTGGTGTCGATGTTGCTGCTGCTGCTGCCGTTGTTTCTGCTGCTGCCGATGTCGTTTCTGCTGCTGCTGATGTTGTGTCTGCTGCTGCCGAGTGTTGAATTGTTGCTAATGCTCTTGTTCGTTCTGCTTCAGGGATGGTGTGCGAGTACCAAAAGCCTTCTAGGCTGAAGTCGGGGTCAAGATCCGGTGGATGTGTCCAATATGTGAAGGTGACGATCCCGTCGCTGTCGGCAGTGCCAAGATCTGGGACGAAGTCGAGGACGAAGACGTTGTTTTTCAGAACTGCTTTCCCGATGTAGAGACCACCCTTGCCGTGGTATAACTTCAACTCCTGAGTGGTGCTGTCTGCCTCGAGGTGTATGCCCTTCACCATCAGCTGACTGACACTCAGTAAGTTGTAACCGAGTCCTTCTGCTATCAAAACCTTTGACATCTGTAGTATGACGTTTGTCTCTCGTGACTGAAGTTGCACTAGGCCTTGTCGTCGTGTGCGCAGGTTCTGATTGTTGGCGACGGTGATGACAACCTCGCGTTGAAGTTGGTGTTCACGTTGAACAAAACGTCCTGAAGAGCACATATGTTGTCCACAGCAGCTGTCCAAGAACCACGTATCTTTTCCGGACGGCTCGCTTTGAGCGATAGCTGCATACGTCGGATTTGGTTGAAGTGACTCGCGGCGAGGCGTGCTGTTGTCGAGTTGCTCTTCCGGTGAGTAATATGGTGGTGACTCTGTGATGCAGGAGTCGGTCAGTCGTGTCATGCAACTGACGATGTTTCTTGTTCCTTGCGCAGGTTGTCCCGTCGATGTTGTTGAAACTTGTACTTGGGATGTCGGATTCGCTTGCGTTGAGGCGACTTGACTGCTTGAAGGCCGAAGCTGCCGCTGCGTTGGTACTGGCTGTTGTCGGTTGGGGCAGTGCGTGCGGGAATGCCCTGACGTTTTACAAAGATGACAGAACGGAGGTACTGGTTTCGGTTGATGCCGATTGTTGTTGTGGTAGCGTCGTTGAGTGTGGAATGCAAATTCGGACACTAATGCCTTCTTCTTGTGTCGTTCCTCTTGCAGGTCCATATCTTGCTGCTCAGCATGGATTTCGGCGCAGAATGTTGCTTCTGATATCTTTCCATGCGCTCGGAGTATGGCGCGGGTGGAGCGCCACTAAGGACCGAGGCCGCCGATGATGACTGTGACGAAGGCGTCTTCTGAAATCGACCCTCCGCATCGAAGGAGTTTGTCGCGCAATTCGCGACAACGGCTGATATACGCCATCCCCTTTTCGCCTGGTTTCATTTCGACTGTCGTCAGTTGCGCCATTAACTGACTTTGATTTACGCTGTCTGTTGCTTGATACAGGTTCTTCAGGTGGTTGTACGCGAGCTCTGCAGAGTTGCCGTAACCCCGGTAAGACCGTATGTTCTGCTGCTGACTTGGAGTGATATTTCTCAGCAGTATTGTGTACGCCATCATTGACTGATACGTGTATTGCTGCTTGTCGTACTGTGTGCCGTGTGTTGGATATGGCAGGGACTCGTCGAAGAAGCCAAGAATCTGCGCGCCTTCCATCATAAGCTCGAACTCAAATGACCAGGTAAAGAAGTCCTTTTTGTCGAAAGGCTTTGTTGTTTGCAGTTTTAAGACGTGCGCGAACTGCGACTGAACTTGAAGTGCATCCAGTGTCTTTTCTTGTCCGGATGCAGGCTGTGGCTGTGGCATAAAGCTGACGGAGCCACGCTGGGGCTCATACGGAGCAAAGGTAGGCCGTTGCTGTTGATTTCCACGCGCGTAGGATGAACCGTCGAGGCTCATCGGTGTTGCGTTGTTGTTGCTGTTGTTTGACTGTGCAGGTGCCCCTTGCTGGTGCTGTTCGTAGAAGGACATGAAGGAGAAGAACTTCTCCATCATGTCTGGATCGAAGGCCGCAGCTTGATTTGCGGGAGTTTCCGAAGACGATGCCCTTGGTCTTGTTGCCGTACCCTCCTCTGTCTGTAGGCCAGAGACAGGAGGTAGAGTAGGAGTAGTGCCAGGAGAGCCGTTAGAGGAGCTTCTCTCCTTCTGCGTTGCCATTTCTTGTGATGTCGTAGATGTCTTGATCGTAGTTGAATTTGTCCTGACTGCTCTCATACCATGTTGGGCTGAGAAGCCCCTTAGGATCTTTGCAAGACAGAATTCAAGAGTAGGATGATGTAGTAGCGGAAGCGTTTAATAAAGACTTGTTGAACCACCTTGTACTGGTTTGTGAGAACAAAGTAAGTTGATAATAACAAAAACATACAAGCTTTTATATGATTACAAGGAATATGAAAAGGTTCTATTTTAACTGTTTTGCTGTTGCGGTTCGATACAGTGCCGACTCGGGTACCGTAACTGCTCTGTAACGAGTCAGTTATATGTCCTTGCTGTCGCACTGTACATTTCGTCAGGTCAAAGGTCGGGGACCTTTGACCTTCGCGTAACCTCCGACAGTTGACTCGCGTGATACTTCGCTGTAGTTAGTTCCGTTTTGTGTCTCAGCTTCGATACGACAGAGGCGCTATAAATCACTTGTTTCCAACACACTACCAATCAGTTGTGTGCGAACCTTCCTGAGGTGATCCTAGGGACGATCAACTTCTGATCGCAGCAAAGTGTACCCTGAATGCACATTCCGGTAATCCTTCCGGGAAAACGCCCTCCAACAATTCGAGTTCGTGTAGCGTATTGGAACTGCAATTTACAGTTTATATCCCGAGCAATGACAAAGAGCACAATATTGTACAAATAATGAAATGCTAGTAGGGTCCTTCATATGGTGTGAGACCCTCGTCATCGAATGCACTGTAGAGCCTGCATGATGCACATTCAATCATGGTGTGGACAAGAGGAATGGATGGTGGAGAGAATTGAGGTGAGCTGTGAGAAACCCAAGATTGCAAAACATTGGTGCCACAATACAGAGGAAATTGATACCATGGCATGTGCATGAAGCTTACCCGATGTTGAGATCAGTTTGGGGCAGCCCCCTGTGCTGCTGTGGGCCACTTCCACTCGCAAAAAACGCGTTGTTGGCTGTCGGGCATTCAGTGGCCAGTGCACGGGCGCTGGAAGCAGGCGGCAGTGAGAAGCTCCCGAGCTGCATCGCCCCGCCCTGCCGGGTTCTGCCATCAGGCGCCGCACCATACCTAGTATCCTTCTCCTGCTGCCACGATGCTTGTTGCGGCTGCATGCGTGGGCCTTGAATATCACCAAACAGCTCACTTGCCCTTCCCCTGGCCCCCTTCCCCTGCTCAGCAGCCAGAGGTCCACATGCTCGCTCCTCTCTCACCTCCCCCGCTTGCACCACCACCTCTTGCTGTTTCTCTTGCAATCCTGCTAACCAATGCCGCTGCTTCCCGGGTTTCAGCACATTGTTTTGCTGCTGCTGATTTTCCTGCTGCTGCCCCTCCTGATGCCGCTGCTGCTGCTGAGTCGGCTGTTGCATCTGCTGCTGCGAGTGGGGCTGCTGCTGCAGCTGCTGCTGCATGTGGTGCAGCACGAGCAGCCGCTGTTGGAGCTGCCAGGGCCCACACTCCTCCGTCCTCTCTGCCCTCTCTCCAGCACCAGCACCAGCACCAGCACCAGCACCAGCAGGCACAGGGTCGGGTGGGGTGGCATGCGGCATGGCAACAGCACCAGACCCCGGGGCACCACTGATGCTGTGTGCGTGCACAGCGTCGTGGGCAGCAGCATCTCGCCCCACGCCATGTGAGCCCATCCGCGGATGCGCAGGAGCGCTGCCTGTGCACCCCACACCCACACCCACATCCACATCCACTCGCTTGCCACTGCCCCCTCCATGCGCTCTGGACGGCACACTCTCTTCACGCTGCCCCTGTGCATGCTGCGGTGGATGTTGATGATGACTATTTTCCCCCTCCTGCTGACCCCCCTGCAAATCCATCCAGAACCTTCTCAGCAGCTTGGTTTTCTCCTGCAACAGCTGCTCATCTGCGCCGCGCTTCCCTCGCAACAAGGCGTCAACAATCGACACCCCATTGGCCGCAGCCCCATCCAATGGAGCTCTGCCTCTCCATGCCTCCCCAGAAGACACATCGAGCGCACCCTCCCTACCCACTCTCTCCCCTGCTGCTGCACGTGCTGCGATGTCAGCGCCACCACCAGCTGCTGCTGCACCCGCTGTCGCACCGCCTCTCAATGCCCCTTCTGGTTCATCTCGGCCCATCCGCACGCGAGCCGCTGTGTCGGGCAGTGGTTGTGCAGGAGAAGGAAGGGGCGTGACAGCGTGCGTCCCTTGCGCTTCCACTGCCTCCAGCGCCTCCTGCTTCACCATCGCCCTCGCTGCCTCCGCCAGCGCTGCCACTCCACTCGCAGCCGCGGCAGCAGCAACCGCATCAGCAGCATTTTCACTGGCAGCATCAACAGCGGAGCCAGCCAGCGCAACGGCAGAGAGTGGTGCAGAGCAGTGAGGTGATGTGGCGCGAGGCAAGTGCGACGGTGTCCCACGTGAATACACACTGCCACGCCCCACCGCCACACATGCTGCGTGCCCGCTGCCACGTGCAGGCGAGGTGCCGTGCACAAGGCTGTGTGGGTGGGATGAGTGGCGCCATGGATGTGCCGACACGGCATGAGCATAGCGAGAGGAACCGACCAATGGGAAGGCATGTTGAATGGCGTCGTCGTCGTCATCCGCATCGGAGTCACTATCCTGCAGCTCTTCCACTCCTTCATCCACCCCCATGGTTGTGCATGGCAGTGCTGGCCCACCAGCACCGGCACGAGCATCAGCATCAGCAGCAGCAGCAGCAGCATCACTGAAATCATCACCATCCCTATCCTCCTCACCATCTCTCCCTTCATCCCCCTCACCATCAACTTCCCCATGCCCTCCCCGATCCCCATCCCCGCTGCCCTGCCCATCTGGCCCCCCATGGCGTCCCTCCTTGTCTACTCCTGGACACTCCCACCCGTCCTCGTCCCTCTCTCTCCCCCCACTCTCGCCCTCATCCCCTGCTCGCACCGCCCCCACACCTCCTTCACCCCCCGTCCCCTCACCACCAGCATCCGCCCCTGCTCGTGCCTCAGCCTTGCTCTGATCCTCCAGCTGCGACAGGTTCAGAGCAAGGCGTGGGACAAGGAACAGGGCATAAAACAAGGGAGAAGGCGTGGGATTGGGATAGGCAGAAGCAGAGACAGTAGAAAAGCTCCCATGGAGTCATGAGAGAGGCGCGGAGACAAGAGGCATGCATGCAGCACGGCACACAAGCAGGGAAGCACGCGGGCAGGCCAGCTGACAAATGGGCAGGCAATGAGGCAGGCAAGCAGAGAGCAGGCAACGAGGCAGGCAAGCAGAGAGCAGGCAACGAGGCAGGCAAGCAGAGAGCAGGCAACGAGGCAGGCAAGCAGAGAGCAGGCAACGAGGCAGGCAAGCAGAGAGCAGGCAACGAGGCAGCAGGCGGGCGAACGTACGCGCGACTTGAGGTGCGAGATGGTTCGGTCGAACAACTCCTCCTGCCACACAGGCAAGGTGAAACAGGAGAGAGCGGTGGGCAGTGGGGGAGAGATTGAAGACAAGAGGTGTGAAATCAATGGCATGAGCACAAGCAGTGGCATGGGTGGCAGAGGCAACCACAGCATGGGTGGCAGCGGCAACCACAGCATGGGTGGCAGCGGAAACCACAGCATGGGTGGCAGCGGCAACCACAGCATAGGTGGCAGCGGCAACCACAGCATAGGTGGCAGCGGCAACCACAGCATAGGTGGCAGCGGCAACCACAGCATAGGTGGCAGCGGCAACCACAGCATGGGTGGCAGCGGCAACCACAGCATGGGTGGCAGTGGCAACCACAGCATGGGTGGCAGCGGCAACCACAGCATGGGTGGCAGCGGCAACCACAGCATGGGTGGCAGCGGCAACCACAGCATGGGTGGCAGCGGCAACCACAGCATGGGTGGCAGCGGCAACCACAGCATGGGTGGCAGCGGCAACCACAGCATGGGTGGCAGCGGCAACCACAGCATGGGTGGCAGCGGCACGAGCAGTGCCTTCTGAGAGGCCCATGCTCTACAGCTGTGCTCCCACCCTTTTCCGTCCCACCCTCCCCTTGCCACCTTTTTCTCTCGCAGTCGAGCGAGGTTGTCTTCTAGTTGCTTCTCCAGTCGTCTCATCTCCTCCAATCCCAGCCCTCCAAAAGACTCTGCTGATGTGTCCGGGCAAACAAGCGCCCTTGATTGTTCATCTCGCAGCCTGGAGCCCAGAATTTGCGGGGTGGATGGGAGGGAGAAGGCGGATGGGGGAGGGGGTGTTTGGAGGGGGTGGTGGGGTGCGCTGACGACTAGCGGGGGTGGGGACAGCACGTGGAAGCAGATGCAGGTTGCTTAACGACCCTCATGCACGCTGTCACATCCGTAGTTGGGGCGTGGCCCACGGTGCATGCAATGGGGGCGTGGGCCAAGGTGCACGCAGGCACAGAGGGCCGTGAATGCAGCTACGTAGAAGGCAAACGATCGGACGGAGCGGTGCGGCTGAATAGTAAGAAATGATAGGGAATGAAAGCCTACGGTTCACCTGCAGTGCGCAATGTAGCACAATACAGGAAGCGCGGCACATCGTAATCGAGGGGAAGAAAGCGCACCTTGAAACCTCCAAGTCGCGCGGTTCTTTTTGTTGCTCTGCTGCCTCCTTGAGTGCCTGCGAGCGCAGAGGACGCGAAGGGCGGGGGCGGGGAATGAAGGAGGGCGGAGGGAAATGGCGGAGGAGAGAGGTGAAGAGGTGCGCGCGAAGGAACGTTGAAGGGGAGCGAGGGGGAGAGTGAGAAGAAGGAGCACGAAGGCGAGAGTGAAAGGGAGGTGAAGGAGATAGAAAGGATGGGAGGGACAAAGAAGACGAAGGATGGAGAGTCCAAGAAAACAACAGCAGAGGAAGGGACGCGAAAAAACAAACAAACAAAACAAAACATAAAAGGTTCAAGAATAAGAGGGGGGGGAGGGGATGGGTGGAGAGGAAGAGAGGGGTCGGGGCGGAGGAAGGCAGGGAGTGAGGGTTGGGAAGGGCATGGAGGGGGGGTTAGGGCTGCATACCAGCACTCCCTGTGGCGCCGCCCCCGCCTTGGCTTCCACCTGCTGCAGCTGAAGCTTCTTCGCTTGCTGCTGCTCGCCGGGCTGCTCTTTGCACTGCTGCACTGGCGTGGCGAGGCCGGCGCTCTGAGGGGGGTTCTGCTGCTGCCACGGCGGGCGGTGGTCCTTGCCGCTCTCCAGCGCCAGCCGCCGGTACCGCTCCACTATGGCGTCCATGCTGGGGGGGGGTGGGGGGAGGAGGAAGTGGGGGAGGGGGGGGTAGGTGAAAGAGAGGCGGGGAGAGGCGAGGTTTGTGCGAGGCAGGATGGCGCAAGGAGGGCCGCGGTGGTATGGGTGCACTCTGATGCGACGACCATGCTGATGAGCGCATGGCGCGCATGGCGCATCTGCTCACTCGGTGCAGGCATCGCTGACTCAATGCTGGCATGGTACTGACTGGGTGCTGACGTGGCACTCACTTGGTGCTGGCGTATTGGAAGAGCTTGCCCGTGGCGGAGAAGATGATGACGCCGATCTCCACGTCGCACAGCACCGCCAGCTCGTACGCCTGCCATGCCGCCAGGGGACCTCCGCACGGGGGGGGTGGGCGCACGGGGGTGGGCGCACGGGGTGGGCGCTTAGGGGTGGGAGCAAGGTGTGGGCTCAAGGGGTGGCGCAGGGACTGGCCGCATGGAATGGGCGCATGGGATGGCGCAAGTGATGGATGGGCGGTGCAGGGGGTGGACGCATGAGATGGGTGAATACGATAGCCGCTAGGAATGGGCACACGGGGCAGGCGCAGCAGACAGGAGTGCACGGGGATGGGCGCCGCGCAGGGGATGGGAGCAGTGCGCAGGAAGTGACGCAGGGGGTGCGTGGAGACGCACCTTTCCCCATCTCCCCTCTTCCCTCTTCCCCCCCTTTCCCTCCCGGCCCCCACCACGGCATCCGCCCAGCGCACCTTCTTCAGCAGCCCATTGCGCCGCTTCGAGAAGGTCACTTGCCGCGTCGTCGCGTTGTCAATCTTTCGGATCTCGATCTTCCCGCGTCCCATTCTGCACGCCTCCTTGAATTTGTCCCTCCAGAATACAGTCACTCCGCTGCCCTTCTTAGGTTTCGCTTCCTACCGCATCCTGCGAAAGACGAGTCTGTGCGATTCGGCTGATGCCTGCGACCCTGGGGCGATCCTTCAGGTGCTTTGGCGGATTGCGACCCTCAGATTGTTCCTGCGACGCTTTTCAGATTTCGGCGACGCCCTGTGGCACGCGGCTGCTTCGTTCTGCGATGGTTGGCGATACCTGCAGCGCTAGGCGGGTCTTCTATGCAGGGCGAAGATATATAAAGCTTGCACCCCTATTCTACCTCGCGGCTTTTTAGGGTTTTTCTGCCACCCAGTGCCCGCTAGGTCTGCTGTAAGAGTAGTCACTGTACAAATCGGCTACTTAGCGATCTTGAATCTAAATGCCGTCGCCTTCTAGCGGCGTGGAGTGGCGAGAAAACACATCCAGGTCTGATCGAATTCCACAATTAGGGTTTGCAAATTGTCGCGTCGAGCATGTGAAAGGCGGAGGAATGGTAGTCGATACAAGAGCAGGTCCGGCGACAACCACGTCGACAGCTTACTACATACGAGCTGCCTAATCTCCTCTAACCCGTTATTCAGTTGCTTCTTACATCCTCCCAGCCTAATTTAAGTAACACACCATGTCGCCTACAAATTCCACTGGAATTGTACGGTAATCGACATGGCAAAGGCGATCTGGTCAAGGTTCGTTCTCGTTTTCTCGAGACCGTTCCGCTTGTCCTAAAAATGGCAACTAAGTACTGTATTAGTCACCGAACCGCGAGACGAGTCTGTTGGAAATATGTACAGTGCTCGGCTTGGGTGGTACAGTAAGCTTGCTTTCATGGTGCCCCTGAAACTGTACACCTCCCGATTTGGTGCATCCACCTCTATTTGAAGCACCATCATGCTCCGTGAACGCATTCCTCTCGAATCCCACAAGTATGATCACAATTATACCTTCCCGAATCTACCGACAACACTCCACTCGCTACAAACCCTCAATCATACATTGTTCCATCCCCTTCCCTTAATGAAAGTGGAAAAGAATCCCTACGTCAAATCGGAGCATCCCACTTGACCAATAAGGTCAATTCTAAGTACCCCAATCTTTTGTTAATTGGCTCCAGAAATTCTTTGTGTAGTTTTTTTGTGCTTTGTCAAAAAGAAAACAAATAGTATAAATTTGTATGTTTTTCCATAGCATGACACCGTTCATGGTCATAACCAGTTTTGAGTGGCAATAAAAGTGTATATTATACCTTAAAAACTCCTTGCATTATGCATTAATAACAAACTCCCAAATTATTCAATTGCATAATAAATTAGACGGAACTATTTTGACTGTTTAGAAGAATGTAGAATGATGTTGCAACTTTTTCACGTACTCCGCATACTAATTTGTAAACCCCTGTATATCATAGGTATCATCTGGGCCATTTGTGGAGCTTTCGATGTATACGACCAAATTTGGGGATACGGAGAGCTTGACTGGATGCATTGCATTGGCCGATGTGACAATAATCATGTGTGCATCGCAGTTTTATTTCTAAAATATGCGAACAAAAAATCTCCAATGACACTGTTCGAAAGTAGCTTACTCTGAACCAAGCCATCGGATTATAAAATTATGAACGAAAATGCACATTCTATATTTTTTTCATATATTACTGTCAGAACATATTTATAGCTTATGCTGTTGTGTAGGCTATAGTGGGGTATCCCATAGGGGGTACAACCCAATTAGGGTTTCCTATATGTACTCACTTCATTCATAGTTCATTCATTCTTGTTCAAATCTTCTCATGGTATCGAGCAGGTTCCCCCTTGGGAACTGTGCTTAGGGCCCACCACATCGATTTTTTTTTTCCTGCCCGAAGCGCGCTCAGCCCGAGTCACGCTCCGGGCCCTCACTTCGTCGAGCCGCCCTAGCGGCCCTTCACTGCGGCCCCGCCACTCGTCTCAGTGGCCCCGCCGCCCGTCTTCGCGGCCCCGCCGCCTCTCTCCTAGCGGCCCCCCCCCGCCCTACCTAGCGGCTTCGCCGCCCTACCTCGCGGCCTCGCCGCCCCATCGCGCGGCCCCGCCGCCCTACCTACCGGCCCCGCCGCCCTTCCTCGCGGCCCCGCCGCCCCATCGCGCGGCCCCGCCGCCCTACCTAGCGGCCCCGCCGCCCTTCCTCGCGGCCCCGCCGCCCCATAGCGCGGCCCCGCCGCCCTACCTAGCGGCCCCGCCGCCCTTCCTCGCGGCCCCGCCGCCCCATCGCGCGGCCCCCGCCACTCTACCACGCGGCCCCGCTGCCCTATCTCGCGGCCCCGCCGCCCTACCCAGCGGCCCCGCCGCCCTTCTCTGCAGCGGCCCAGCCGCCCTATCAAGCGGCCCCGCCGCCCTTTCTGCAGCGGCCCCGCCACTCCTCTACAGCGGCCGAGCCGCCCAGCAGCAGCGCAGCCGAGCCGCCCAGCAGCAGAGCAGCCGAGCCGCCCCGCCGCCGAGCCGCGCTGCAGCCGAGCCGCCCGGCCGCCCTGCCGCTGAGCCGCCCAGCAGCCGAGCCGCCCGGGAGCCGAGCCGCCCTGCCGCCGAGCCGCCCTGCCGCCGAGCCGCCCGGGAGCCGAGCCGCCGAGCCGCCCTGCCGCCGAGCCGCCCGGGAGCCGAGCCGCCCAGCAGCCGAGCCGCCGAGCCGCCCAGCTGCCGGGCCGCCCTACTGCCGAGCCGCCCGACCTGCCCTGCCTGGTGAGCACAGCACCACTGTTACTGCGTGCCCTTCCCCTACTGCTTGCACTACTACACTGTCGTCGTCATGGCTACCCCTAGTGTCCTCGCTTTTGACGCTGAGGGTCGAGCCATTGACTTTGAGGTCTGGGTCGACGACCTGCAGCTGTTCTTACAGTGCGATAGGGCGGACGGTCTTTCCCTCTTTGACCTCACCTCTGGCGCCTCTCCTGCCCCTGCTGCTGATGCTGACCCCACTGTTCGCTCTCAGTGGGCCACCCGCGATGCTGCTGCACGTCTTGCTGTGCGTCGCCACCTGCCTACCACTGAGCGCGCGCACTTTAGTCAGTACAAGAGTGCTCAGACCTTGTACGACGCTGTAGTTGCGCGCTACTCTTCCCCTGCCACAGCTGCCCTGAGCCGCCTCATGCTACCGTACCTCTTTCCTGACCTTACTGCATTTCCCACTGTCGCTGACCTCATTACGCACCTCCGCACTAGTGACACTCGCTACCGCGCCGCCCTTCCTGCTGAGTTCTGCGCCAAGAACCCCCCCCCCATGTACATCACTCTCTATTACATAGTCACACGCCTCCCCGACTCCCTTCGCGTAGTCAGGGACCACTTCCTCTCAGTCTGTCCCACCACTCTCACTGTCGACCTCCTCGAGAAGTCCCTCCTGGCGGCGGAGAAGAGCATCGTCGCTGTAGGAGCCTCTCGTGGTGACCCTCGCACCCCCATCTTTCAGGGGTGTTCTCCTTCCCCCCTGCTGCCCTCTGTTGCCTCTGCTGCTGCTGCCGACCTGCTTGGTCTTGAGTCGGTCAGCGCGGCGTCTGCCCCTAGCGGGAGACGCCGCCCTGGCAGGGGCAAGGGGGGCAAGGGCGCGGGTGGAACTGGCAGGGGCGGTGGAGGTGGCGGTGGAGGCGGCGGAGGGAGTGGGGGTGGCGGTGGGAGTGGTGGCGGGGGCGGTGGTGGCGGTGGCAGCAGCGGAGGAGGAGGCGGTGGTGGCGGCAGCGGTGGGAGCGGAGGCAGCGGTGGTGGTGGAAGTGGAGGCGGCGGTGGCGAAGGGGGTGGAGCTGGTCGGGGTGGTGCCCCGCAGCGTAGCGGCTCTGGTGGTGGCCAGCGTCAGCAGCAGCAGCAGCAGCAGCAGCAGCAGCAGCGTTCGCGGGACATCCCCCCGCCCCAGCAGCTCCGTGAGTGGTACACGCAGCGTCAGCGGGGTGGGGGTTTTGGTCCGTGCACCTACGTCCTTCGTTCCGGCGACCGCGCGGGTGAGCAGTGTGGGGATGCCCACCCCACCCAGCGCTGCTTTGGCCGCCTGACGGACGCTTGGCGTCAGCAGTTCCCCGAGGCTAGTGAGATTCCCCGTTGGGGAGAGCTGTCTAGGGCTGGCGTAGCTATCTTTGATCTTGACTTTGATGCTATCCTTGCTGCCATGTATGCTGTGACTCTTAGTGAGGAGGGTGACTGTTACCGGTGTTTCCCGCCCGACCCGGGCATTGGTACTGCTGCGCTAGGTACTTCTGCGGCTGCTGCTCTAGGTGCCAGTGCGTCTGCACTCTCAGGTACTGGTGAGGCTGCGCTCTCAGGTACTGCGTCGGCTTCGGCCTCCCTCACCTTCACGCTTGACTCAGGGGCTTCTCGCTCCTTCTTTCGAGACCGCACCACACTCACGCCGCTTGGCCGGCCGGTTGCAGTCTCCCTGGCTGACCCCTCTGGGGGTCCTGTCCTCTCTCACTTCTCCACTGTCCTCCCGTGTCCGGCTGCCCCCTCGGGCACCTTGTCTGGTCTGTACCTCCCCTCGTTCTCGACGAACTTGGTGAGTGGTGCTGACCTGCAGGATGCGGGGGTTCACCAGTTTACTCCTGCGAGTCAGCGGGTGACCCACTGCTCGGACGCCCGCACAGGCCGACACCTGGCCAAGTTTTCGCGTCGGCCGGGGTCGAGTCTCTACACCCTGACCACTGAGTCTCCTCCTGTCCCTGCGTCTGGCCAGGTAGCTGCGTCGGGTCAGGTGTTTGCTGCTGCGTCCAGGTCTGGTCCTGAGTCTGCCCTCTGCTCGTGTCGCCGCCTGTCTCAGGAGACTCTCCTGTGGCACCACCGTCTTGGCCACCCCTCCTTGCCTCGTCTTCGGGGCATGGCTTCCCGTGTCCTTGTCTCTGGTCTTCCCCGGTCTCTCCCTCCCCTTCCTTCGGGACCCGGACCTTCCTGTGTCCCCTGTGTCGAGGGGCGGCTCCGGGCTGCCCCTCACTCCTCCCAGTTTCCCCCGACAGAGGCTCCTCTGC